TCGGGAGCTTTGACGGAAAGCGAGCATTGGACAGCTGGTTTGAAGAGAAATCCGGGAACAGCTATTCGCTCTCAGCAGAAGTGCTGAGCAGAATGTCCACCACCGAACAAAAGTCTGTGTTGCACAATATGGATATGAATGCAGAGTATTATCCAGATATTTGACTGATCGGCGCCAATTACTCAGCCAACATGATTCCAAAAAGCCATCTCATTGGAAAAGGGCTGATCGGGACTATAATGTGATTGGCCAAGTAGTTTGACACTGGCCCTGCTGCTAAAATGGCCTAGATCAGAGTCTTCTCTAAGAGTCGGTATGAATGCCTTTGCAGGTCGCGGGCACATGAAACACTTTAAAATGTTCATGTAAATGGTTGTGATGTGTTGATATGTGTTTTTGTCCAAAGAGATACTATTTTCAAGTCGTGAGGATTGTTGCCTTTAGGTGAATGTTCGACTGAGCACCATTTCATCAGACATTGGTGAGTGAAGCCTCATACAGTCTTTTTTTAATCTCTGAAAATGTCACCTTGCAAAAACCGATTCAACTATACGTTCTGGAAAAAGAGTTTTATTATTATATCTGCAATATAATTTGAGCAATCATTCTGTATTTGTATGTAGATTTGTGTGTATGAAAATGATAGAACAAAAAGTGCTTCATTTTTATAGCATGTTCTTATGCTGGTTATCGCTGATTGGAATGGAAATAGCCACTATTTTGCCATGCATTATATTCCTAACATAATCTTTAGTTAACCATTACTCTTAAGTTTACATGTTAATCTTGGTTTGATAACATGTTGGTGTGCCATAATACTTTATGCAGTCGGGCACCTGTAATGTGCAGTTTACACCCAGTCTGATTAAAAGATTTCCAATATATAGCCTAAATATGCAGGGTTTGAATGCCTTACCAATAGAAAAAAGATTTCTCGGTTCTTTTAGCATGTGCTGGTGCTTGATTCCTGGTACATGTTTATATGTACTGCTACCGGCAGCCATGTCAGACCCCCCTTACGAGCCAATTTAAATTATATCATAGTTAAATTTTCATGTTTGAAGCGATTTTACTCTGATGCCACATCAAAGCAACAAATATGCGTTTACTTATTAATGTTGCTTAGAGGCGGTCTAAATAGTCAGATGTTTACTAAAAATGTTATGATTAATGATGAACAGAAAATACTTCAGTAATAATACCACAAAATTGCATCACTGTCTGTCTCAGCAATACTTTTCATCCAGTACAAATGCTTGTGCATGACTTCACCACTAGTAGGCCACAATGTACGACAGTTTACCTTTGGATTAAATTTTAGTGTCTGAAAGAATAGCACTATTTAAATCAAAGTCATACAAGAATAATTGTTATATTTTTGATTGTGTTATTATGTGCATTTGTGTATTTTAGCAGTGCATGTGTTATGGTTAGCACCATATATTTTTCCATATATTTTAACTTGTTATTTTTGCCATACCTTGCCACTAAATTCCATCAATTATACATGTGCAATATACATTTTACACTTAAATTGTACATTCTTAAATACAAACAAGTCTAATAATTAATAATAATGTTCCTTGAAGCAAAACTGTGGAATTTAGAGGCTTCCAACATGACTGAGCATGTTTTACAAGATGTGTATGGATTCACCCTTTTTTATTAATTTCATAATCTTGTTCTAAAAATTTAGATATTTTTCAATCATAACTATTTTTAAAAATAGTTTCTCAAGATCAAAAAAGGGGTGACCAGTAGAGATTTATTGATAATTATAAGGCATTTATAATAGTAATATTTTCAATGTTGCAGTTGAAATTTAGCATGTTAATTTTATTCATACAATTGTTAAAGCATCATTATTATCAGTTTAGAAAATATTGTAATCTGTGGTATATCTCAATTTATCAATTTTAAATGCAGTAATATTGAAAAGTATTGATTGTTCTCACTGTATACATCTGTGCAAAATCAAAAAAAAGAGCAGTTAAATGCAGTCTTCTCTAAAGTTACGTTAACCTTTAACTTTCCACATGTACAGGGAAGGCCTTCCATGTGCTGCAATGTTTTACATTAATCAAACTGAAATGGCTTGTCTTTATTTTAAAAATAGATTTAGATTTTGCACGTCTGAAAATTTTGCATGTGTTTAAAGCTTCAGAAAGCTTGTATTTTATGGAAAGAATTATTTCAATAAATTCTTTTTTTTAATTCTGTTTTAACAAATGTCAATTTTAAATAGAGACATTTCAAAAAGAGTGTTCTACGCAAAGGATTATTCTCATTTAATTGGTCGAGCTATTATGTTTCAAAGTAGTTAGCTATGTTCATATTTTCATGTCATAACTCATTTGGAGTAGCAATAGAATTGTGTTAAGGATTAATAAGTGAGCTGCCAAAAATCGAATCTTTTCTTATATGTATGTGAATGCTTTTGAATGTTAGACATCGAGTGAGTCTTTTCATATTGTGTTGGGAGGTATACGCCGTAGCTGTGTCAAAGAAAACATTTGCTCATCTTCAATGGTGAATTCTCATAAAATGAGCCAAAGTCAAGCCTGAGCTTATTTAGTTAAGGCTTTAATATGTATTTTCCTTTAATCAAATACTATGTGTACCAAATGTAAATGTTATGTCTAGATTCATAATTTTGTATTTTCTTGATTTACTTGTCATGTAAACACAATAATGTGCATTGTCCTTATGAATTATTATGAAATGTTTTTCAATGTTTTTATTTGGGAGACACCAGGTCTAAGGCCTAAGGAACAAAGTTACTTCTGATTTCAGTTTTATTTTCAAACAAAGTAAATGAATTGTAGCTCTATATTTTCATTCAGTTTCTTCTTGAAGAAAAATGTAATTTGCTTGGATTCATACACCCTTTCTTCCTGAAAACATAACACTGGAAACTCAAGAATATGAACTACATGTGAAATGTATACCTGGAGAATGTGTACATGTATTATAGAACCCCACTTAAAATGACAGCATATGGAATCTATATTCAACAAATAATGGTTCAATAAAGTTTTTTTAATGTTATTTCCTTGTCATGGTGATTTTTTTTAACTGGTTTGCTTGAAGGAATAGTTCACTCAAAAAAAAAAATTCACCCTCAGGCCATCCCAGATGAATTTGCTCTGCAGTGAATGGGTGCCGTCAGAATGAGAGTCCAAACAGCTGGTTAAAACATAAAAATGATCCACATGTAAGCTTGTAAATGGTGCTTGATCTGTGCATACTTCAGACAAGATGACTTTTCTGCAATATTATGGATAGCACTGGAAGAAATGGTTTGAAGTTTAAAACTTAAAGTTGTGTGGATTACTTGTGTATTATAGTGATGTTTTTATCAGCTGTTCGGACTCTCATTCTGACGGCACCCATTCACTGCAGAGGATCCATTGGTAAGCAAGTGATGTAATGCATTTCTTTAAATCCAGTCCAAAGAAGAAACAAACTCATCTGCTTCTTGGATGGCCGGAGTAAATTTTCAGCAGATTTTCATTTTTAGGTTAACTATTCCTTTAATCGTGTCACCATTTATAGATAAGATGACTTCAGGTTTAAAAAAAAAAAAGCCATCTTGATTGCATGTTTAAAAAACAATTTTTTTTTCCCTGATATTTGAAATTTTGTGTAATTAACTTCACAGAATAAAAACACCTGATTTGTTAACTGAAACCTAAACCACTAGTGAAATGAGTTTTAGATTAGATTAGTTAGTCACATAAACACTAAAATGCTGCACTGAATGCTACAGCCCAAACAAAGATCAAGTGGTCTTTGTTGCTTGTCTCACCACAGCTTCATTGTTCATCTGTGCCTAGATTTGGTCCTTTAAACACAGTCCCATTCCGGCACTGTGGAAAAAGCCAATCATCACGCCTTCTCCTGGATATTAGCATTCTGACATGTGATGGATGATTTTCTGCTCCCTTTGGTAACACAACAACATGAGTACTTGTGTGGGCTGCCACACAAACAACACCACTTCACTGTGTTTTAAATACCAACAAATTCATTCGCTTAACTCCGATTGTTCTGCTGTCACCGTGTACAGATTCACAGTTGTATTTCGTGCCTTTTCAGATTCAGTCTGAAATAAGGCCGGCATTGAGATGACATTTGAATTGAGTGCTTCCATGCCTGCAGAAAGGCTCTGGGAAATGTGACACAGGCCTTATTGTTTACACCAGCTGCAGCGTTGAGAAACGTAGCAGAAAGGATTGGGTTTTAATTCTCGTGGTCAGTCGTTATGCTGTACGGATAGAGAGACAATTAGATTGAACTCAAGTTCTGTTAACAGAGTCAAGATCTTTTGTTTTGAGATTCTATATAAGGTCTTTTTAAAGGCAAATTCTGAATGTGCTCTGTATTAGGTTAATATAACCCTGTTCTGGCTGTACAAGATAATCATTTAGAGAAATGCAATTGTTTTCGAGATGCATTATGATGTGTAGAAATCCAATTGAATGTTGCATGCTTTTTTTAAGCAGGAAAAACTTAACTACATTGTAACTGCGTGTTTAATCTGAATTTGTTTCTCATTTGGCAAGTAACTGTTTTCTAGTTACTTTCTGAACTCCACAGACAATCTCCACTTTTAGCATAAGAGCGGTTGCCAAAAAAATAAAAAATGCTGCCATTTGTAACTTAAATATGTGAGGCTTCCGGTGTCATTCACTTCTAGCTATTTTACTCGTACAAAAAAAGTCCATTATGCTGCTGCTTTATATTGCAAACTGGTTATCATGTTTAATTTACTCTCATAATCATAAACACACTGGTTTGTAATGCAGAGTTGTACTGTTTACTGCACGTATTATAGTTATTTACCTACAGTGGCTAATGAACCGGAAGTCACGCATGTGCAAAGTGGTCATTAATAATAATGACTTTGAAACATAATGTCTCGGTTTTGGGATCCGTTGACTCTGTCTTGGCATCTAGGAGAGACTCCATCAATGACATCATTCATGTAGGGCAAGGGTGAGGCTGGGCGAGAGCTCGAGCAGGGAAGAGGTGGCACGAGGAATGCTTTTGGACTGTTGAAACCTACAAGCTTGGACTAAGCCTGAATTTTTCGAGCAGGGTAAGTGATATTTAATATAATTCTGATGCTATTATTTTCCAACAGCTGTCATACAAGTATTGCAAAAGATATTTGAACATTTGTGCAATTAGGGTTAGTTTTGTTTTATGTATTGCAATATTTAATTTTCATATGCTCAGTATAAACAACATTTATACTTTTTATATACGTATGTATATATTGTATATACAGTACTTGTCAAAAGTTTGCAAACATTGTGATTTGTATGTTTTTTAAGTCTTTTCTGCTCACCAAGGCTGCATTTATGTGCTCAGAAATACAGGAAAACACTAATATTGTGAAACCGTATTACAATTTTGAAAACTACAATTACAGTTTAAAACTGTTTTCCAAGTGAATATATTGTCAACTGTATTTTTCTCCTGTGATGCAAAGCTGAATTGTCAGCATCATTACTGCAGTCTTCAGTGTCACGTGATCCTTCAGAAATCATTCATTTTCATTAATATTCTGATTTGCTTTTTTTTATTTGAGTTTACTGTTGTTCATTATCAGTCTCTTAGGTCTGGAAGGTTTTCTCATAATGAAGTGCTCTCTTGGACTTTTTCTATTGGTCTGTTGTGTGACTCTTAGCTTAGGTAAGTTAATGCACATAACTGTTGGCTTAGTTTTGTGTGGCTTTGGTCATGACCTGCTTTTTATTTGAAACAGGCGTTAAGCATTATGGAATCCGATTCTCCTCTGCAGGCTCGTCTCTTCAATGCTACAAGTGTGAGGATTACACCGGGGGACGATGCGCAGTGCAGCAAGTTTGTTCTTATGAGGACGCATGTTTATATCTTCACGAGAAAGGTCTGTGGATGAAGTTTTAGTATGCAGTGGTACAGATCCTCCTGAGAGGCTTTTACATTTTTATTTATTTGAATAGTTTAGTGTTTGGCTCATGTATACATTTTAAAACACAATTATTGTTTCAATTTTATTTGTATTATATTATATTATCAAACATCTGCAAACAAGTGACACTAGACATTTTATAAGAATTAACATGACTTTTCTGAACCACTGTTGAAATAACTACTAACCAATGATGTTGAGTAGTGTTGTGTAAGTTACTAAGTATAGTGACTTTTTTAAAACTAATCACAACTATACTTCACGAGAAAGGTCTGTGGATGAAGTTTTAGTATGCAGTGGTACAGATCCTCCTGAGAGGCTTTTACATTTTTATTTATTTGAATAGTTTAGTGTTTGGCTCATGTATACATTTTAAAACACAATTATTGTTTCAATTTTATTTGTATTATATTATCAAACATCTGCAAACAAGTGACACTAGACATTTTATAAGAATTAACATGACTTTTCTGAACCACTGTTGAAATAACTACTAACCAATGATGTTGAGTAGTGTTGTGTAAGTTACTAAGTATAGTGACTTTTTTAAAACTAATCACAACTATACTATATATATTACTAATTACTAAATATATTACTATACTATATACATGTCCATCAAAACAGTTTCTTTTAAATAAAAAGATCAAATAACTCTCTTAAAGTGTAAGTTTTCAGTTTAAGTTTTAGTGTTTTAGAGATAGAATTGTCTATACGACAGCCGTCAGATTTCTTGGTAATGAAATCAAACTGAAATGTTTAAAAGGAAATGAAAATTAAGAAATGCTCCAGAACAAATAAATAATAATAAAATGATTCTTTACAGCTATTTATTATTTCTTTTATTTTCTAAGAATACAATTAAAGTTACAATAACCTCCAACTTGTCTTAAATCCCCAAAAGGTACGATGTTTAATGGATTTATTGTTGATGTGATTTGTAGTGGATGTATGAATTCAGTTCACACAACTAGTACATTTGAATTTTTTATAGTATAGTATATATAGTATTTTATTTCTATTTTATAAGTAAGTTGATCATTTAACTTGAAAAATATTCTTCTTTTAAAATAACATTAATTTCATTAATATAATACCATTTGCTTTGTTATCTTTTGTTTTTGTTTTTTCTAATGCAATGGCATTCATACTTTAAGTGACTTATTTTTTTAAATATTCTATTCTATTCACTAACTAACAGTTCTCATTTTCTAGGTGGGAAGACCATTCGCCGGTGCATTCGTTACACTGACTGTGATAACTCTCGTCTGTCCCAGAAGTTTCCGTCGATATCAGAATATACTTACAGGTGCTGCAACACCGACCTGTGTAACAGCGGACCAGCGAGCGCAGCAAGCACATGGATCTTATCTCTGCTGGCAGTGCTCACCGGCCTCTGGTCCTGCTGCATCACTGCATGATTTCTCACTAGTGTCCTCGAAAGCTATTTCTTGCCATACCCTTTATGGATATCTATATATTTACAATGTACCATTATTTGTGATTTTTTTGGTTTTAACTAACCTAACATTTATCAGATAGCACTGTTTGTTGTAAACAAGTTTTATTCTAATACCATTGTTTTCTGACTTTTTCTTTTTTATTTAAATGAATACAATTTTATTTTGGCTGATATTTAAAAAGAATGCAGCAAAATGTTTGGAATTTTCATAAATTACCTTTGTATGTAGTACCTTATAAATAACTAATTAAAAATAAACCTTGATTTTCTGAATTTGTACATTTTAAAAACAGGTGCTTTTGAGGTTGCGTTACCCTTTACCATCTTAAATGTCCAATTTCAAACCACCTGCACTGCTTCAAGTGTCCATTCAGCACCGCGGACAGCTCCACATCCACTAGCCATTTAAATGCAGCACCTAACATCAATATAGCACTACAATGGCTAAAAAAGGAGGAACATATTCAGTGAGTGGATTTGAAAGCAGCCGATTTTAAAATCTCCACCATCTGAACGCAGATGGAACCGCTTCACTCGCTGCAAAGTCTCTAAAAATAAAGTCTGCCCAGCTGTTGACCCCTAATCCTGTGACATAACATGCTGTTTTCTGAACAAAGTAAAGAAAATTTCAGGAATTCCTTCAGTTAGATATATAAAATGTCATGTACTTTATTAAATATGTGAAAAATGAACCCACTGATATGTAAACAGGAATGCATTCTCTAATGGTCACATTTAAATAGGACACAGACATGAAAGAATGTGTTTTAGGAGTTCAGGTCCTCTAGTTCACAACACATAATTGCACAAGGTAAACACAATATGTTAACACTTACAAACTAAACAACCATGATAGCCACGTTAAAGGGATAGTCCGCCCAAAAATTACAATTTTGCCATTATTTACTCATCATCATGTCATTTCAAACTTGTATGACTTTCTTTCTGCTGTGGAATGTGGAAGATATTTTGAAGAATGTTTGTAACAAAATGGTTTCAGTTTCCATTGACTTCCATTGCATGAATAAAAAAAATACAATATAAGTAAAAAAGAACCAATACAGTTTGGCTACCAGCATTCTTCAAAATATCTTTGAGTGTGTGTATTGTAACAAAATGGTTTCAGTTTCCATTGACTTCCATTGCATGAATAAAAAAAATACAATATAAGTAAAAAAGAACCAATACGGTTTGGCTACCAGCATTCTTCAAAATATCTTTGAGTGTGTGTATGTGTGTGTGTGTGTGTTCCACAGAAGACATACAGGTTTGGAATGACACGAGTGTGAGTAAATGATACTCATTGACTTGCATTGTATTTTTTATCTATATAATGGTAGTCAATGGAACTGAAACGGTTTAGTTACCAAATATCTTCTTTTAAAGAATGTTGGTAACTAAACAGTCTTGGTTCCCACTGAATTACATAGAAGTCAAATTCCATGGAATTCAAAGGGAATCAAACCTTTTTGGTTACTAACATTCTTCAAAATATTTTCTTTTACATTCTGAAGAAGAATGAAGGTCAGGTCATACAGGTTTGGAACTAATCTAAAAATCAAAACTATCCCTGTTAGTCACTTAAACACATAGCATCTCATAAAACAAGATGAGAACACAAAAAGGCAAAGAACTGGAATATTTTTAAAAGGGTTATGGTATCAAAACCCAACATACAGCTGCCACATGTTTGCTTCAACAGCGGCAGTAATACATTTTAATTGAGGTATATGCCATATTTAATTTGACGTGAATAAAAACAAAGCTGTGGCGGATAGAAACACATTCTGTTAAATAGTTTGTGCAGTGTAAAGGTTTTTGGTCATGTTTAATTTCACAACTTGAAAGTTGAGTGTATTGACTAAACTTCTATCCACCACAGCCTGCTTTTAATTCTCACTGAACACATTATGGCATCTACCCTAACTATGGTCCATATCTTGACCAGTACTGCCAAGATACCACATTTTCTGTTAAAACAATCCTAAAATTCATTATATTGCTGGCAATAGGTAATCGTAAACAATGCCACAGTTGCCACAGTTTACAAAACATGTGTAGTATAAAACCTATTTGAGACTATTATTTATAATATTCTTGACTATTAAAGGGATAGTTTACCAAAAATGAAAATTCTGTCATCAATTCCTCACCCTCATCTTGTTCCAAACCCATAAGACTTTGGTTAATCTTCGAAAGACAAATGAAGATATTTAGAATAAAACCTGAAAGACTTCTGTCCATCCATTGAAAGTCCAGGTAACCAAAACCAAAAGGTTATAAAGACGGTGTAAAACAAATCCATATGGATTTAGCGGTTTAATCCAAGTCTTGTGAAGTCGTATGAGATTGGAACGACATGAGGGTGAGTAAATAATGACCGAATTTTCATTTTTGAGTGAACTAACCCTTCAAGCAAACTAGTTACAAGTAACTGCTAGGTTATTTCTACTTCCATATCTGAAAAACCAAATAAATGTTTTTGTTCTAATCGCTCATGTCCTCCATTGTTTCTTCTTCAGTCTCTCTGCCTATTTCCTCAAGTTTCACCGTTTTCTTTTGACCCTTCTTCTCCTCCTCCTTCTCTGCTGGCACGTACCAAGGCTTGGCTGCCATGTCATCGCAGGCCCTGCCACCACCCCTCCTGTACCCGCCCCGTCCCGCCCTCACAAGCCCCCAGCCCTGAGGTTTACCCTCGTGGGGTCCACTGTCTTGCACACCTCTGGTGTGGTCCAGCTCCTTAGCACTGAGAGCTGGCATGCGGACTGGGACAGTGTTTCCAAATTTGGAGTAGTCGATGGAGTAGCGCCCATCCTCCTCTGTCATAATGGAGACGAAGCGCCGACCCCACAAGATCTCCTCTGGTGTGTAGGATGTACGGGCCTGCATTGTGATGCCAGTGGTCTCAACAACACCTGGTAGAACAGAAACATCGGCTCCGTTTCAAAACATAGTGAGCTATACACGCAGCAAATTCTTTTCTGTTTAGAAATGACTGAAATGTATTGCTATTAAAATGATTACAATAAAGAGAATGCACTCCATTCACCTTCCAAAATGACAATGATCTCCAGGTCTTCGGTAGCCAGCGACTGTGCTGAGACCTCGTACAGCGGACTTCCTCTGTCAATGGTGTGACTGATTATAAGTGGAGAGACGAGGAATATGCCATTGCTTCTGAGAGGGTTTTCCACCTGGATATCGAGCTGACAAACGGGAATCACCTCACCCTCCGCAGTCACTGTCCGCCGAATCACCTGAAGAACAAACTTCAAGATTAGGGTGGAATTCAACTCAAGAAGCTCTGGACAGAAGAACTACACGCTTACAAATAAAGGTTCCAAAAGGGGGGTTTTCACAGTGATTCCATAGAAGAACCATTTAGTGATCAGTTCTGAAGAACATTTCAAAAATTTAAAGAACCTTCTGTCCAATGGAAGAGTTCCATTGATGTTAAAAGTTCTTCATGAAACCATAGATGCCAATAAAGAACCTTTGTTTTTCAGAGAGTTGAAGATATTTGTCACCTGCAGCTGTATGGTGGCCGAGATGATCATGCTCTTTCTTAGATCCCCGACACGGAACATGAACGTTGGTCGGCCGTTCCGCGGTGCAACGACTGCGTTACGCGAGAAGATGAGGGTTTCTGCTCTCCGGTTGGCTTGAGCTGTCTTCATGAATACACAGCCCAGCATGATGGCGTTGATGATCAAGCCCAGAATGTTCTGGATAATGAGGACTATGATGGCCAGGGGACATTCCTCCGTCACCATTCGTCCTCCGAAACCAATAGTCACCTGATATTACAGAAATGATTGATATTACAGGTTCAAAGAGCTCAGCCATTTGGTTCTCAATGAGTCGACAATTGGATTAAAATCCTTCCAGATTGCTCCTTACCTGCACCTCAATGGAGAACAGAAAGGCAGACGTGAAGGAGTGAATGGAAGTGACACACGGCACAGGTCCGGGCTCGTTGTGATCTTGAGGCTCCAGATCGCCGTGAGCGAACGCTAAGAGCCACCACACCATGGCAAAGAGCATCCAGGAGCAGAGGAATGCCGAAGTGAAGATGAGCAGGGAATGCTGCCATTTCAGGTCCACCATAGTGGTGAAAACATCTTGGAGGAACCGGCCCTGGGAAGCAACAGAATCAATAAAGTGTATTGCATCTGTTGCCTAATAAATACATTATACTACAATATGTGAGTGAATTTAAACATTTGCTTGGACCAGAGTTCATCTGTGCAATGCACCTGCTCTCGTATATTCTTGTGGGCAACATTACAAGACCCGCTCTTGGTGATGAAACGTGCCCGCTGTGACTTTGGCCGGATGTGACTGGGTTGTGTGGCATCCTCTGCGAGTCGTGTCAAAAGGAAACCATCAGGCAAAAGGCCTTTGCGGGCCAACATTATGACAATCTGTGGCTGATCAGTGCTCCACACTACAAAAAGAACAAAAGAAACGCATATATGAATTAAATTAATTAATTTTAAATGCAAAAATACATTAGCACTAAGGGGTTGTCTCTATAACACTTTGTTTAATTACAAATAAATATCACAGAATTATTTAGGCCTCTATTTAAGATAAATGTATTTTAATTACATGTATAGATTTCCATCAAGTTGAATTTCAGTTTCAACAAACTAATAAACTTAACGTGATGCATATTTGTCGATCGTACACAAATGAAACAAGAATGAGATTTATGTATAGAACTAATAAATAGAACTAAAAAACAAATAATCGTATAGTATATTATATTTTATATTAAATTATAGCATTTAAATAAGTTTAATTGAAACACTTGCTAGAATTTTAGAAATGTTTGTTCCTCTTTTGTTTGGTACATCATTTCAATTAAACTAGCACATTAAAAAGCAAATTTTTCCATTTTATGCAGTGCATTGTATTCGTAAGATCGTACATTATGGATTCTGCGGACAGTTGTGGTTGTGATCATTCAGCACAAGCACTGAAATATCACAAACATCAATATTAAAACACTTATAAATCACCATCGTAAACCCCGCTTTATGTTCTTTTATATCTGGGTGGAAATGTATCTACTTCAAATATAGTGCAATAGAAAATATATTTAATTTAAGGTACAAAATGCACACGCGCAGTTATACATGCAAAAATGATCAAATTGAATTATTCGTCCATTATTGCATTTTGCGATTCGTCGTTATGATGACCACCATAACCAAGGTTATGCATTACAAAATAAAGATGCTTACCAGCACAACACTGACACGCGCTGTTTATTTCATATCAATGTCGTTTAAAAATAAAAATAATAAATAATAATATAAACCGATTTTTTTTTTTAAAGCAACCGCAAGCAGATGTCTGGCTGGAAGCTTATGCAATCAGACGGAGTCCTTATGATAGAAAAATGAAAGACTGGCGGATAAACATATCCCAGAATCCTCAGCGACTGCTGCCCGCTGATCAGCGGTTCGCTTCGAGACAAATGTGCGCTGTTTTACAGCTGGCAACACTTTTACTGAACGTCTATGTGTTCGCTTTTGTTTAAGAAGTCATTTACAGTTCAAACGAATAGTCTTTATTGGTATTCGGCGTGTTTTAGAGTGTCTTTCGGGGTTGTTAGCCGATTAGCTCTTTAAAGATGGCTGATCCGTGGAATCGAGGTAAGTGACACGTAGCAGTTTTCTTATAATATAAAGTCATATTTTCATTTCAGCTATTTTATTAGTATATCCACGTAATATTTCAATATTACGGTCTAAAAAAAATAACATTTATCGTTGATGTTGCTAGTGCACGTAAACTCGAAAACGAAAGTGTCCAGATATGAAATCATGTTGTGTACTTTGTCACAAAAAAAGTTTAATAGCAGTGAATTTTGTGTAATTGACAGGACATGGTGCTGTGGATGACATGCTGGATGCTGATAACAGGCTGATGGCAGAAAATCTGGCCAGTAAAGTCTCTAGACTCAAATCTGTAAGACTTCTATATAGAATGTGATTAAAAAATGGTCATTTTGTTGCATTTAGATGTTATCGGTCTCATTCACAGCTGGCGTATGACATTGACAAAGAGGCTGAGGAACAGAACACCTACTTGGATGGCATGGTTGGTTTTTTTGAAACTGTTGTATGTTATATTTGCGGTGTTGGAACATGGGTGTAACTCATCATGTGTTTAACATCCTTGTTTACTCAGGACTCCAATTTTCTCAGTGCAACTGGCCTGTTGACTGGAAGCGTGAAGAGGTTTTCCACAATGGTACGATCCGGCCGAGACAACAGAAAGATCTTGTGTTACATGTCCATCGGTTTGGTTGTGGTCTTCTTCCTGCTGTACTATCTAGTGTCACGGCTCCAGAACTAATGGGACGTTTGCTAGTATTTTAGAACAGTTTCTCAGTTCTATGAGAATATTTGGGATGCTCTGTTTGGTCCTCTCATGAGGAGATTACAGTGACGTGTACAGCAGATGTCTTTCCGTTAATAAAAAGAGGAATGACTGTGGCGTGAGGATGATTTATCACATTTTCCTTTATTTAAGCACACCCTTTGTTTACACTCTCAAAAGTGGTCTGTTCAGTGTATATTTTTATTCATAATGGAAAGAAACATGCCATGGACCAATATTTGCTGTTTTATTTCAAATGAATTAAAAGCATATATATTTTTTATTTCCATGCTTTATATTTTTAACATTGTAGATTATGTAAGAAAATGAAATGAACAATTTTTTGATAATTATGTACATTAAAATGATTGAAATGCAAATGCTTCTGTTGGGATTTTGCTTGTCTATCCAGTCTGGATAAACAGTGTGCTTACATGATGTTCATTTAAAACTGTTTTAGATAAATCTGATGCACAAAATCATAGCATAACATTTATTTTAGTAAATGAAAGTACTTATTTTTTTACTATAATCTCCTGCCATGTTTCCTGTCATCTGATTGATATTTAATAATTTTCTAGAAAGTAAAGGTAGTATAATTTTAGTATAATTCTTACATTTTCAGGTCATGGTTCACGTGTCCTTTTGATGTGAAGTCTTTAATTACTTTTTAAAATAAATGTCATACTCAACTCCATACTTAAAAAAAAAATATATATATATATATATATTAATGTTAAATACAACAGGTTTTTGAGGAATGTTTATTTGTACATTTGCACGTATTTTGCCCCCACAATTAAAACTACAGAGTTTTGATCATAAAACAGCATTTAAATATAATCTTACTAAGACACTAAAACAACTGATATTTATATGCATTTTATGTAAGCTTAAGCAGTCTGCTATTTTTGTTATAAAAATCTCATTGATTTACATTACAGAATCATACTTTCTCACTTTATCATGATATATGGGCCATAAAGGTTATA